CCTGGAGTTCACAGGTATCTCGGAAACAGGAGGGCCTTGCAAGTCCAACAGCTCAGCCGACTCGCCTGACACTCACTTTGCCACATCCCTGATGAGGGCAACCCCGAAAGGCCCTGCCAGGACACACCTGGGACAAGGCACCTCTAACTCGGAACCTAGCACAGGGTCAGAGCCCTGGAAATGAGCTTAAACGGCACAAAAACCTAATTTATTCCCTCAATTCCTGAAATACTGAGAAATAGTGTATATTTCTCCTAAGAGACAACTTTGATCTTCATTCCCAAACCCATCTTAGTCTTTTCCAGGAGTGTGGAAAGACAATGAGTGAGGGGAACAGAGGTCTGGAAAGGACCCTTTGATGCCCTGGGAATGGGTGGGTCTTAGCAACTCTCATGAGAGGCAGCCATCCAGTCTGAGGGGCCTGGTAAGTGACATTCATGATGTCAGGTTGGGAGGCTGAGTCAGGAAGAGCTCCCCCCCAGAGGCTCAAAACCAGCTGAGTCTTGAGTGCCTAACTGTAATCAGACAGAAAAGAGACAGAAGTGAGCCCCAGTGTGTGCTGGGCGGTGGGGACACAACAGCAGTTAAGGGTTCATAAAAAGCAGTAGGAGAGAAAATTCCCTCATAAATATGCAGTTGTTGTGTCAAAAAGAAAAAATGTGATATAAAAATTAAAGTGGGATGGAAAGAGAAAAATCAAAAGTCTGAGATCTCTCCTCACAGAGCAAGACAGAATTTGGATTTCAGCCTGAGGCATGGGTTACTGAAGGTGTCTGAGAGTGCAGACCAGTATTTCAAGATTACTCATCTGCAAGTGGTCCTGAAACCTAGTTCTAGAAAGACTCAGAGTCCAGACAACAGGCAGCAGTCCACGTTTGAACAGACAAGGATGTGTGTGCACATGGGCTCCAGAAATCCGGGTTTCTAATAAGACCAGGCCAGGCTACCTAAAGAGCAGGAAAGCTGAGATGCACATGCTGAGTTTAGACAGTGATGGAATCCAGCTTCTTTCTCCTTCACCCTTCCTTTGCTAATGAGGTGTGAGCCAGGTCTGTAGTTAGTGACTGTTTCCTTCATAAAAGATACAGCCTTTATTCAGCAGGAAGTTAAGACTTTATTCATCCTCATTGTTGCTAGGGGCCTAATAAATTACTGTACTATAAACCATTTTGTAAAAACCAAACTTTACCTAACAATAACCACCCTTTTAATAAGGAGGTGTCTGCAGCTAATATGTAAACAAGTCTCTGGAGGCACCAGCTACCTAGTAATTCCGGCTTGATGGACCCTGTGGCCATGCCAAAGAACTTCAGCTACAACTCAGCCAGTCTGGGAAACACAAACACTGACTGTGTCACCATGCAGCCATCTAACAGCATGTTTAAGAGAACTATCATCTCTTTAAGAGCCTGCCTTGGTGTTCTGCTCCCTTCCCCAGGTCTAAGGGTCGGTGGGGCTCTGGATCTGTGTGTGTGGTGCGGGAAACAGAACCCAAGCAAAGACTCCAACACGATAGGCAAGTGCTCTACCACTGAGCAACATTTCCAGCCCTTTTTATATTTTGAGTCAGGGTCTCTACAAATTGCACAAACTGGCCTCAACTTTTGATCTTCCTGCCTCAGCCTCACAGATAGCTGGGATTGAGTTCAGGATTTTTCATCTCTCATCATAATCATTTTTCTGTATATTTCTCAATTTTAAAAGGCCTGTCTTCAAAAGACTTGAGATTACTGAGTTATTAACTTTATAAGTTTGCAATACACACATGTATTAGTGGAATCTATTTTTCCATAGGGAAACTATTTTAGAGAAAGACTTCTTTAGCCTGGACCAATGGAACACACCTGCCATCACAGCATTCTCGGTGGCTGAGACAGGAGGATCACAGGCTGGGACTCGGCCCGGGCGAGACCCTATCTCAGCAAGAGAAAATATATTAATGGGGGCTGGGTTGGGAATGGAGCTTGGCGCCGAAGCCCCGGGTCAATTCCCCAGCCTCCCCAGCCCTCGAACTCCAGAGCGAACGCTGTCGTCTAGAGCCCTCCACGCCACGCGCGTGGGGCGATCTCACTGCGGTCGCGATTTACCCAAGTTGGTCACAGGTCGCCCGAAGTTTCGAGGCCAGGTCGGAATAGGTCGTAGCTGCTGACACGGGTCAGGCTCCCCAGGCAGAGACCCCGGGCGACCCTGACCCAAGCAGCCGCGGCCTAGTCTCCTGGCCTCCGGACG